GCAATCTGGCACAACTACGAACCATGGCCAGCAGGAAGCTTTGCACTGCAATGCCAGCATCCTTCGAGTGCAGCCCACCCCCAACCCTGACATCAGACACTATAACAAGAGTAATTATTTCAGGCTTAATATTAGGAAACGTTTCTTCTCAGAAAGAGAAGTAACGCATTGGCAAAGCTGCAAAGGGAGGTGGTGGGGTCAGTGTCCCTGGAGATGTTCAAGGGACGTGGAAATGTGGCACTGAGGGACGTGGTGAGTGGGAATACTGGTGGTATGACCTTAGTGGTCTTTGCCAACCTTAATGGCTCCATGATTACAATGAGCCTAACAGAGCCTTATCTCACAGGGGATAAGTGTGCAGAAGGAAGCTCAACACTGAGTCCCCACAGCTCGGATAGTGACACTGCAACTCACACACGATGATTTCCAGCAGCTGACCAGCACCAGGATCAGTCCTTTATGGGCACTGCCAGGGAGACACACAGAGACAGCAGGGCCATCCCACAGCCTAAAGAACACACATAGGAAACCCTGGGGGCCAAGCACCACTGTGAGGTCCTTACAGAAATCCCGCTTGCCCATTGGAAGGAGAAACACTCCCAAGCTCAAACCAATGAGGGATGATCAAGAGTGGGAAAGCCGAGAGCAGAGCCCCCCAAAAAGAGGGACAGCAATCCCAAAGCAGCACCACGCAGAGGAACAGGATAGAGAAACCCCACAAGGAGGGTGGGAAAAGGGAGAGGTTTGGTGCAGAGAGCCGACGGGAGGCGGCAGTCAAACAGTGAGCTGGGAGCACGAGGCCAACAAGGAGTGCAATTGTCCTGATGGCTGCAGTCAGAGCAGCAGTGCGGGTTGTTGGCTGCTGGGAGGAGATGGAGGGCCCCCACAAAAGGGCAATTCACAGCCAGCCGGGGGGGCTGCAGATGTGTTGCAGCTTCACATTCTCAAGACAAGACGCTTGCTGCAAACAAACTCCTTGCTTGGGCAGAAAAACAACAAAACAGCTAAAACATATCCAGTAACAAAACTGAAGTTATCAATTCTGCAACTAGAGGAACTGCTCAGCACCTCCAACGCAGTAGCACATCGAGGCAGCAGAACAGCCCACTGGAAACCCAGGGGTGGGACAGCAGTTCTGCACTGCTCTGAGCCCCCCAGCCTCCCCCCACCTGCAGACAAGCTTCTGTAAGGCAGCTTCCATCATGCCTCGTTTGCTAAGAAAACAGCTGGTTAAGCCAGCAGAATCACAGAACTGCTGAGCTTGGAAGGGAACTGAAAGGAGTGTGGGCAGCAGAGTGCCCCCAAAAGCTTCAGGCTGCTAAGAGCCTGGGCGCAAGCGGGCAGAAATCCAAGGGGTGATGCAATAGGGAAACAGAGCACTGGAATTATCCAGGGGCTTACATTAATGCAGACAGAGGGTGATTACAGAAAGCTGTGATTTTCAGGGCCGATGAGCAGGCTTTCATGCCGCACTGCGTTGGCTGCTCCCGTGGGGAGGCTGAACCAGGTGTCCCTTAGGTGTCAGGTTTACACATAGAATGGTGAGGACTCTTGAGGATGGAGCAGAGGGGACAATACCCTTCTGGTCCCACTGCCAATCCTCAGTTGATGCTGCACAGGATGCAGTTGTGTCTGAGTTACAAGCACGCTCTGCTAGCTCATCCTCACCAACACATTCTAGAGATACCACTAGAAATACAAGTTTCAAGTTGGATGAACAGAGGGGCTGCATGTGAGGCACTCACCCAAGCCAGCCCCTTCTGCCCTAACATTACATTATGCATCCATGTTAATGGCATTAAGAGGGATGCTGCCACAGCGAAGAAATGCATGGCAGCAGCTCAGCTCTCTGCTGGCTTTCTGTCCCAAGCACCCCCTGCTACCTGCAGCAGAGAGACAAGGGCAGCAAGCTCCTGTGTCACATCTGTGAGCACTGCTCATGTCCCAGCTCATGCCTCATTACCAAAATAGTCTTAGCCCTGCAATGGATACAGAGGAAATCAAATCCCCCTCAATTATGCAGCAGAGGAAGCAGCAACGTCTCCTATCCAACACTCACTTTGGATATAGAGTTCTCTATTCCTTAAAAATAGAAACAACAAACGGTTCTGTGAAAATGCCATCTCTTCTCCACGCACAGCTCCAGCTAGCTACAGTCCCATTAAAACTGCTTCTGCATGCGTTTAGTTCAAGAAAACCACTGGGGGAACAGACAGCTTTCATGTGCTCCAGAGCCATCTCCAGCAGCTGCAGTCTGCCCAGCCCTCTGTGCCCACAGCAGCCCCACTGAGCAGCTCAAACTGCAGCCCTGACCCAGCAGCAGCACGCAGCCACGAGCCCTGGAGCTCCTCAAGCACAGCACAAAACCCACAGCTCCTACTCCTTCAGGAAAGAGGGAGTGCAGAATCCCAGCTCACACTCAGGTCAGGTTTTATTTCCAGAAGCAACTCAAGTGTGGCTCATCTTCAAAGCATTTCACAAAAAGAGGTCAAGTTCTTTTTTTTTAATTAATTAACATCACAGTACTACGTTGCTCCTTTTTGAATGCAAGGAAAGGACTTGGAAGGATCTCAGCATGCCAGCAGTGAGACCACCAGCCCTGCTCTGACCCTTCAAGGAGTTCTCTGAAACCACTATAAGGCCCCACGCTGAGCATTTGCCTTCCAGGGCCAGGCTGCATGGGGACCTGGGCTGTCAAGATGATGCAGTCCTTCCCCAACCCACCCCCACTGACCACACAGCTCACATCTTTGTGTTCCTCGAACACCTTCAGGGACAGCCTCCCATGGGCAGCCTGTGCCAATACCACTGTGCCAGTCTTCCGGAGATTTTCCTTAATATCTAACCTGAACCTCCTCAGCACAACTTGAGGCCATTACCTCACATTTACACAAGCCAGACAGAGCAGGTCTTTGTCCCTTACAGCAGTTCTGCTGCTGGCTGGGCTGATAGAAGAGCCCAGCATGAGGTGGGTCAGCATCACGGTGAGACAGCGAGCACCGCCACCTGAAGTCTGCACTCCCTCTGTGCTGCTCCTCCCTTGGGACCATGGCCTGAGTCAGCTGAAGCCAGCAAGTCAGTACATCCAGAGCCTCAAGACAGCAAGGCTCTGCCTTTGTCACTTTTGTGGAAAGCCGAACCAAAATAACTGCATGCAGCTCCACAGGCAACAGCAGCGACATCCTCCGAAAGGCTCAGACTGTAGCTCTGCATTGCACAACCTGCGCCCACAGCCCAACAACCAGAGATGAGATGAACACCAAGGCACGTGCCGACCTCCCCCAGGTGCAAGATCCTGATTCAGACCCATCTCAGACCCACAAGAAACCTGCACACCCAGTGAGCTCGCTGCAGCCATGGCTGGACCCCAGATTTGCCCACATCTCCTCCACCAGCCACACTCCCATCAATATTTACATACAGTCCAGAGGTGCACAATCACAAGACAGAGGGTTCAACATACTTTACGTAATTAAGTCTGTAGATACTGGTGCCACAGAACACGGAGTACTTAAATAATTATGGGAAACGAGAAACTGGCTCAGGCACTAATCAACTTCTATATGACCTTGTGGGACAGCTAATTATGCAGAAGTCAGAGCTCACGAGCCCAGGGCTGGGGGCATTCTCCTGCAAGCTGAGTTGTTTATGCTCCGCATTCTGCTGCTCTCCATAAAACACACTGCCTGCACTGTGCTCTGCAGCCAGCATCCAAAACAGCCATCCCATCAATCCAGGGATGGAAACAGGAATGCACTGCCTTCCAGAATTGCAGGCAAACCAATTTTCTCTTGACTGTGCGTTTTCATAAGCAAGCAGCATTAGAAGTGCCTTCCCCATGCATGCAGCCTTGGCTCAGAAGAGCTGCACGTCTCATCAAGCACACCCCGTGCTGTGGTTGTGCTGCAGTGCTTCCACCAGGGAGCAGAGGTTTTTCTTGGTGCACTGACCCTTCCTTGGCAGCCCTTCTGAAAGCCTCACGGCCACCTTACCTACACACAGAGCACTTACAGATGTCTCAAAACAGACCTTACCACGCTACCTCACTGTCTCACCTTCACACTCCTCCTTCCTCAGAAGTTCGACGAAGCCACGTTTTCATTATAAGCAGAATGGAACAACAGCAGGTGCTTACTACATCTCTCCTGCATGAGGTCTGACTTCCAGCATTCAAGATGAGAGCAGAGAGGTTTTATTTTAGGGCAGCAGGGGTGGCTGATTGCCTTTTTAATACACTCATAGTTTTTGCCTTCTGTGATTTTAAAGCACATTTGTTTGTGGAAGAAAACCAAATGTGAATCCCAGAAGAGCTATGAACGTTCAAATATTCCTGAAATATTACTTGTTAAGTGCTTATCAGATCCATTACACAACAGAGCAGTAAAAACAACACTACGGGGAGGAGCACGCATGGTGGTTTGACAGCTTTACATAACACAGTTGTCCCAAATACACACTAATAAATACCAAAGCACAGCTTAGTGTGTGCAGAGGGGAGAAAAGCAGTGTGCACAGACAATTACATCTGCGTATCATTCATCTACAGCAATGCCCTAAACTAGGGGAGAACAGGAGAGGCACTGCTCTAGGATTTCACTGTGGACCAGTGCCCCCAGGGCTGCTGCTCCCTGCAGGGCTTGGTGCCTCCTGCAATGTCCCCCACTCACAATGACCAGCCAGGGCCCCAGGAGAAAGGCACGTGCGTCCTTCCTTCCAGAAGCAGCATCATAAATTCATTTGTGTTGGTTCTCTACAATGTACAGCCACTACCAGGGCTTTAAAGATTGGTGTAAGGCTGCATAACCAGATCAAAAGATGTGTGCTGCACGCAACACTGCTTAAAACCCCTTGTGCCTCAATGGGAAACGGTCAACAACTTTTAATTGCAGAATAGTATCTGCCAGGGTTTCTGCACGATACGGAAAGCACAAAAGAGCTGGTTTACAGGGAGGTTTTCCCAAGGATCCAGCTGCATGCCTGCACGTTGAGCTATGCCCTACCTGACTGGTTGTTCCTCATGCGGATGGCTTTCGCCTTGGCCAGCTCCAGCGCCGTGACCCAGCGCTGCCTCTCCACTTCTGAGCTGGCCTTCAGGTGGTAAGTCCTGCCCCCGTTGGACAGCACAATGTTGCACGAGTCCTCGGTGTCAATGTGAGCTGTGGACAGGTTGATGGTGCCACGGCACGTGTGGGCCATCTCCGCCTGCGTCCTGCAAGGGAACAGAGCACAGGGAAGGGTAAGGGGTGAAAGGTAATGGCCTCGAGGTGTGTCAGGGAGGTTCAGGTTAGATATTAGGAAAAATTTCTTCTCCAAAAGCATCGGCACAGGATACCCAGAGTGGTGGTGGGGTCACTGGCCCTGGAGGTGCTCAAGTAACATGGATATGTGGCACTGAGGGAAGCGGTCAGTGGGTACGATGGGGCTGAGCTCGGGTCGCACTTGATTTTTAAGATCAAGGTCTTCTCCAACCTTAATGATTTTATGATTCAATGATACTAAACTCCTCTGCATCCACCTGGGGTGGCCAACACACTCCTGTGTGCCCCCAGCCATGTACCACTGGCATTTCTCACTGGTACTGCAGCTCTTCTCCCTCCCCATACCACTCCACCTCCAATAGCTCTGCCTCTCTCCATCTTATCCCTTCAGTCATTCTCCTATGTGCAAGTTAGATAAGATCTTGCATGCAAAGATATTCATTTGTAAAGCAAATGAGCACAGCACAATTCTTCCACAGCTTTCAGAACACCTTTACAGCTGGAAGGACTGCTGCATACCTCAACGGGCTTACTCAGCTGAGCACAAACAGCAGGAGGCTTTTCTGGGGCTGAACTCACCAACAGCCAACACTCAACACTCATTTACCCCAGCCCAGCAAAGCAAGGAGAAGCAGGTATGCTGCTACCATCACACACAAGAGGCAAAACTCCTGGTTAGGACAAACCTTTCTCCAGATCCTTACTCTGGGATCAGGCTTCTCATTCACTCCCCACAGCCCATGCCTGCCTACAGCAGCACCTCCAGGCTGGATGGGATGGAGCTGAGATGTGGGCCAACAAGAACCTGAATGAGGTTCAACAAGGCCAAGTGTAAGGTGCTGCACCTGGGTCAGGGCAATCCCAGGTATGCACACAGACTGGAAGAAGAACTCCTCGACAGCATCCCTGCTGACTGGATCCCTGCAAAGACCGGATGTGTCAAAGGCTCTCAGGCACAAAGATAAATGCTTAAGTAGACCCAAAACCACTTCCACACGCACTGCAGCATTTGCAGCTGCCTAAAATAGCCCTGCAAGCACTCAGCCCAGGAGTCCCATCATCTTTGCACCACCCTGCAGTGCCAGCAATGCCAATCCCAGCATAGGGCAGGGCGAGCTGCTGCCAGCTCCTGCCCAGGGCTGCCTGCTCTCAGCTGGGGCTGCAGACACCACAATCCCATCCTCCAGCCCCTGGGGCTGAGCCAGGCCCTGTCCTCAGGAGCAAATCAGAGTGTTTTCTGATTGATAGATGGGTACAGAACAGCAGGACAGAGGGTCGTGTAGTTCCAGATGGCTCTCATCTGAATCATTCCCAGAGTCCTCTTCCCCCAACCGAAACCTGTTGGAATTGAGATGTCTCACAATAATTAGATGGATTCCTCTAACATTTCAGCAGGATACATTACTAGGTGGTTGCTCACTGAATTGCAAGAGGAATAACAGGAATTGGTAGGAATTTCTTTCCACAGGAATGGCTCCTTTATTTCCCCCCAGGCCAGTGGCACCATCCTTCCTCAGGAAGGCCCCAGTTGTGGCAGCTCCAACTCCTGAGGACAGTGGCATGGCAGAAATGCTCACGGGTTGCATTCACCAGGAGGTAATAAAGAGCATCACACAGCTGTTGCTGAAGGAAAACCACTGTGGGAGATGGCAAAGCACAATGCAAGGCAAGGGCAGTGCTCCTCAAGCACTCGAACGCTTGAGAAGAAGCCAGGCACAACCTCCCTAGAAGGGATGGATCATCCTCACCTGATTTCAGGCACCCAGCTGGGCAGATGGCTTTGCTGCTCCCTACAGGGCAATGCCACACCTCTTCTATCACTGACCCTTCACGTGCAGAATGCTGTCTCCATCCACCTTCACGCTCTGTCAAAGTTTCCATTTATTCCTCTCTCCCACACTCACAAGCTCCCTCCATCCACACCAGCAGCCATGGTTCTCCTGCCCAGCCCCTCTCATCCCCGGGTCACCACTGGCTCCTCCACAGATGAGGTGAAGTGACTGCTGGCCACGACTGCTGAACAAGTTCAGTCACATCTCTGAAGCTGGGAGCAGAACAAACATCAACTGCTGGGCAGCAGAAATGCTCCCAGAGGCACACAGCCCCAGCTCATACCAACAGCATGATGGGCACAAGGCATCCCTACCAGGGCCAGGAGCATCTCCCCTGTTCCCAGATGGTTCAAAGTAGTTTTCCAGCTGCTTCCCTCTCTGCAACCTTCAACGTGGCTGTAATAACAACGCATCATCAACGCGGGGTGCAAGGAGCTGCATCCCAACCTGGTATACAGACAATATCAGTAAGAGCGACTCTGCGTCACCAGCCACAGCATCCCCAGGATTTTCCTCACCTACTCAGCTCTGGCACAGCTTTGCAGGCTCCACGTGCAGACAGAAGCCTTGCAGGAAGGAAAGCCCCCTGGCACCTCCTAAGTGTGAAGTTCAAACTCAGCGATGCAGCGTGGCAATGTTTGTTTGCAAGAGGGGTGATCTGGCTCAAAACAAAGCCAAGCACTGATATTCATTGCCAGAATCATTCACCTCGTGATGCAGCATGTACTGGCATTCTCCCAGGAGGGATTACTTTTCACTTCTAGAAAACAGCTAAAATGATTTTCTCTTACACAGGAAACAAAAGGTCTCCAAGGTGACTTCACTAAATTAAGTCCCATAACTCAGCGCTGCTCTCCCACCCAAGAAAAGCAATTGGGTACAGGATTCTGTTCTTCAAGCTATCTCACCTCTCAGCACCGATCTGCATGGGAAATCAATTGCCATCACTCAGCACCCACACACGAGCCAGGCACCTGACCCAGCTCCCAGCCAACAAGCCATTTCCTCTGTCCGCATGCAGAAAATACGAGGTGCCCTTCAGAAGCACTTGTGTTCAGCTGGATCTGCTTATTCACCGCCAGCAGCTCAGCTATTGCATAACGTGATCCGGGGCAGATTTTGTGATTCTTCACTTTCTGCAATAATCCAAGAGCTGCACATATGGGAAAACACGTGGGCAGGCTGCAAGGGGCCGAACTGGGGTTCAACAAGAGGAGAGCTGGACGCTGCCAGGATCTTCTGCTGCTCAGAACAAAGCTCTTACTGAATACAGGGATGTAAAGTCATAGCTGTGCACAGCGTGCAAGGCATATGGCAGACAACCAGAGAAGCTGTTAAGGTTACTTTGATACCACAGATCTAAACACACAGAGCTTAACGAGACAACTCTGGGCTTTTGGCTATGCAGAGAGATCTCCCACGTAAAACACCTGCAGTCTCATTCTCAGCATCTCTTACCTCACAACCCGTCAGATGAGGTATAACAGAAAAGAGCAAATCGTGATGTAAAGGCCTCCTTGCTAGTCCTGGAGGAACACCTGAGCCACATCCAGTGCTCCAGAGTTACGCAAAAGAAAGATGCTCTCACTCTGCAATGACTAAATTTCACTGCTGTATAAGAAGAGCTCAGATTTAGCAACAGAGTAAAGGCCAAAGGAAAAAAAAAGAAAGGATTAAGTTTTTCACCTAAGCTCTGCAGCTTCAGTTTGGTGACATCACAGTTTTATACATGACAGCCAAAGATTTTGCTTTAATGCTGGCAAGATGCTGCTGTGCCCCGTGACTCCAACTGTGCAGCTCTGCAGGATGTTAATGGGAGGCAGCAAGCAGTGCGAGCACCGGGTCACGCTCTGCCCCCAGGTACTCCTTGGTTACAGCAAGCAAGGATGATGGATGCTTCGGGCTAAGCTGCTCTGTGCTGGGGCCATCACTGCTGCCCTCTGAAAATTCAGCCTCTTGAAACCATGCAAGTCACCCTAGTTTAGGAAGGAGTGAGTGCCCACACTGCACGTGCATCCCAAGAAGCTGCAGACAGAGAATATCAGGGAGCATCCTAACTGGAAGGGGTTCCTGCAGCAGTATGAGACATCGCTCTGCTGATTCCCTCCCCTGAGCACCACCTCATCCCCTTACAGCTCGGCTTCTCCTTTCCCTTAGCAGCACACACACCATCCAAGCGACCACAGGGTCAGGGTGAGCTTCTGAACTGCTGTGGCTGCAAATGTATTTCGGTGCAGCTGAGCTCAGTAGGTACAGCACACGTAGGGACCTCATTATGTTACATTCGGCTTCACACTGGCGAGTTAGTTCTTCAAACTGGGTTATCCACAGCAAAACACTGCACAAACATTGAGCTGAGACTTCTTCCCTATGCTGTAAGGGTCACTACTGCCTGCTCCCACGTTCCTGGCACCTCTCTATCACAAAGCATCACCACAGATCCAAACACAAGTTAAGGCGACCCATGGCAACGACCTCTGCAATATCCTCACCCTGTCCTCCAAGAGATATCTCCTCTGTGAGATCAAAACCATTTACCTGCTGTAAGCCTGAGCAACCAACACACCCAGCCCCACATCCCAAATGCTGCTTTCCCTTTCCATCACTCCCACAGCATTCAGATGACCCTGAGGCAGAGAACAGGCTGTCACAGATCAGCATCACCCATCTATTAACTGGATCCTGCCTCTTGGCTCCTCAGTATTTTACCCACTCAGCCTCTGTTTTTTCAGCATGCAGATGTGCTGGGCTCAACTATTTCTCCCATGGGGACAGAATGCTGCAGAAGAAATGCAGTTAGCACAGCACAGCTGTTGCAGGACAGCCCTGCAGCCACGTGGCCTCCTTCCCTCAGCCTGCAGGAGACCTTTTGGCAGATGGCTGAGGTCACACTGAGATTAGCAGCTCCAGGATATTGCCCACACCCATCAGCTTTTGAAAACAGAAAATGAAAACAATGCAACTCTTCCATAGAGAGCCATGAGACTTGGCACATGCTTGGAAAGAACTTCCCAAGCAGGAGGAATTGAAGAGCACATCACTGAGCATGGTTCTGTTAGTAGCCACAGATCGGACTTACCAAGCTGAGCCTTGGCCAAGCCTTCTGCTGGCACTTTTGG